TTACTAAATTCTTTACAAACATCAAGAGAAGTAAAGCGTATCATGTTTATAGTAGAGGAGAGAGAAAAAGTTATGGATTACCTTAATTAGGTGGATCAATGCAAAATCTAGAAAAAATCTGATTTTTTAATAGATCGGTGTAATTGCATATTTGAATGTAATTTTCAATTCTAATCAAGTTTTCTTAATGAAAATTTTCGATTTTGTCAAATATAAACAAACCTCGTATACGACTTGAAAAATTTGGTATCTGATGACTGTATTCTAGACAATTTTTATGAAGAGTAACTTTTTTTCCTAAAATTAATAATAAAAAAGTTTTCCATATGATTCCAACTTAGGGGACATACTATATATTCAGCAACTAGATGAGATCTCTTTAAAACTTCCCTGAAATTATGACGGTCGTTTGAAAAAATGAATAAACATGGACCACTAAAAATTTTCTATTTTCTTTAAGGAGACATTATTTATTGCCTTGAGGGCATCCACAAGTTTCGCCTTACTGGAAGCAGGTCGACCACCCTCTGTCGGATAAAGATACTTACCAAAGGGAAAACGGTTTTTAGGTAATTTATGTAGCCCTAAAAGAGAAAAATAGGGAGATAAATTATTATTAGTCTTTCAAGAAGTTCCGGGACGTTTTATATTGCCAGCAACAAGTGTATATTGATGTTTATAAACGGTTTACGTCATTTGAACGTTCTAGAATATATTTTTTGTCTTTTTTATTAGAGTTAGCTTAGATATTTCTTATTTTTTATATTGCCGAGAGCAAATTCATTAATATAATAAACGATGCGTTTTGACTAGAGCTGAAATTATAATGATACCCAAACCTAGAAAACTGCTAAATTAATAATTAATGTCCTATAGACCTGTATCCCTATTACCAGTTATGTCTAAACTTTTCGAAAAACTAAGAAGTTTAAAACCCATTATATATAGTAAACAATACCGAACCACAGAATACTTTGACAGGTAATCAATCAAATTTATAATATATTTGTAATAAATCTGTGACTTTCTATAAATAGCAAAATAAATAGTGAAGACAACATCAGAATTTAGTAATTTAAAAATAAAAGGCTTACCTACATAAAATATCTATTTTGATTCTGTAGAAATTTTACTAAGTTCTTTTTTGCACATTTAAAACTTTAAGTCAAAATAAATATAACTCATCCTTTATATCTAAGAAAGTTTTTAATTTTTATTTGCGTGCAATGATCATATTATACAGGGTGTTTCCGAACTTGGCGTCCAAATTTGTAGGGGTGGTAGTTAGTATAATTTGAGAGCAATTGGCAGATTTCATTACCATGTTTAAGAAATAAATAAAGTGTAATTCTTCTTCTCAAAAGCTCTCATTATGGGGAATTTTCTCCACTTTTATTCTTCGGGGAGTCCAAATTCACAAAATGGAAAAATTTGTGTAATTTGAAAATACCAATTGTGGTTCTCCCTAATGGTTCTGTTCTTTTCCCAAAAAGCTATTTCTCTACTGCATATTCCTTCTTCTACAGTCAGAACTCTAGCTCCTTATGGCGATTTTAACTCTATTATAGAGTTGTGTTTTTTGTTTTAAATTTCATCCAGATTGGCAGCAACATAATCAAATTCGAAATCAATAAAAAGTCCACATTTAAAAACTTTTAAAATTAATTTAAAATAATTGAGCGAAATTACTGTATGTAAAATATAACAAAGTGTATAGACATAAAACAAAATAAATTCAAATCATTTGCGCACTGTTATCACTAATTGTAAATAGTAGAAAAGGATATGCATTTTGTTGGTGTCACCCTCTAGCTTTTAACGTATTATTCATTTTTATTGTAAGATAAATAAATGCTCCTGTAGGCAAAAATTAAATATATTGTTCCCTTCTAGCACTTTTTAACATTTTTATTTCTTTTCGTTAGAAATACATAATTTTAGATTTTTTTCAAAAGAAACTAATTTAAATTTTCAAAAAGTGACTCCAGAAGGGCACAGGTTGAGCCTTTACCTGTATTTACATAATTTTTCTTGTAGTAAAGTTGGTGTACTATGAAATCCTTGCATATTATATATGTCGATCTTAGTATTACAGAAATGATTTATGTAAAACAATAAGGTTTACAAATACGTAAAATTTATTTATTCCTCGTAAAACATGGGTAAAATATATTATAAATTGTTTTCATTCACAAATATTAATTTCTTAAAAATCTAACAAAGGCGCCACTTTCCAGAAGAAAAATCTTGGAATGTAAGGGTTTCGTAGTACCTACTTTAAAAGTTCATTTTTGACTATTTTTAAAAGAAAAATATATGTTAGTGTAGGTAAAGGTTAAATTCATGCTTCTCTAGAACCACATTTTTAAAATTCAATTTAGTTTTTTTCTGAAAAAAATTGAGAAAATGGATAAAAAAGTCGAGTTTTGTATTTCCTTTTTTTTAAAGAATCGAATTTTGAAAAAACTGTTTTCAGAGGAGCACAGATTTAACCTTTACCTACACGTACATATTTTTTTCTTTTAGAATAAGTCAAAAATAAACGTTAAAAGTGGGGTACTGCTCTGCTCTAAAACCAAGTAAATACTTATTTTAATAAAAGTTGATAGGTTATGGTTATAGATATAACTTCAAAAGGTAGGTAAACACAGTTTTATCAAAAAATAAAAACGAAGAAACTGTTTAATCAGTATGAAACTTAATGATAGGCAGAAATTAAAAATATTTTTTTTGAAAAATAACCAGCATAAAACCCAATGATTGTGAGCTCTTGTTGGCTGAAATCACAAAATTTTACTATTTTAACCGATGAAAAAAATAATAACTAGACTATTTTATTAGTACAAATTTCAATACATTAGGTGTTAAATTTTGTCAATACAAAATTTGGCACACAAACGTGTTTAAAGCCTAAAAACAATGTGCGTGTCCACAAATTTTAAAATATAAACAACTTTTCAAATATACCGCGGTCAAACTCCAACAAAACGTGATCACGATCACTTTTAAATTATGTATTAACATGTGCCAGCGTCTATCTAAAATCTAGACGAAGGAAAACGACCGAGATCTCTATATATTTATTTTTATCCTAGACAAAAACTCTTAATTTTAATTTATCAACTTTACTTTTTCTTGGCTTACGGTCAATAAGCATGGCCAAATTCCGAGAGTGAAATCTCGTATATTTAGATTTTAATTATATTGGTTAGGTTTATAGTATATGTCTAGTGCTATTGTTCTAATTTAATATTTTTTTATCAATGTATTTTAGTTAAAAAATTTTATATACCGCGACCAATGTTTTGAAGTGTATCACTTCATCTTCTGACTCACTTAGTGGGTAAAAGAAAAATAAATTTGTAAATCTACTAATAATACTAATATTTCTTTATTCATGCTAAAAACTTTAATCAAATTAATGTACTTAATTGAATGAAAAAAATTGCTAACGAATATTTCAATGTTTTAATATTTTTACACTTAAAAAGTTCAAACGAACTATATTCTACTTCAATTGCATCTGCTAAGGCTTCCGACAATGGAATTGTTAAAATTAGTTCTAAACAATTTAAAAATTAAAACTAATCTGTCACTCTTTATGATTGCCTTGGAGACCTTAGTAGTAGCCTCTGATAAATATGCCTCGATGTGATTCCTTTGGTTGTCTTGTCTTCCCCAAGATCTTCTGAGAGTGTGGCAAAGAAGCCAGAGTAATTCAGAATTTGATTCATCTTCAAGCAGTTACAAATGTACAAAATTGAGATTAACCAAACTCATGGGTTTTTTGTAGAAAGAGGTCGAAGGTGAAGAAAAAATTAGCCTTGTTTCGATATGAAATGTAAGAAACCCGAAATAAGACAACATATTTCTGTGTCCACGGCTTCTGAACTCATTAATTATCAGAAATATTTAAAATGTATTTTTTGTAAGGGTAACCATAGGAATAAAGATTGCACTGAGGCTAAGCAAATTAATTTATTAGAGAAGAAGTATTTGTTGTCTACAGGATGCTGCCATTTATGTTTAAAGTACGGACACATAGCACGTAGATGCGGAGTCGGATTGCATTGCTTACATTGTAAACAGAGCCATTTACATTGTAAACAGAGCCATGTCACTTTGATGTGCCCAAAAACAATCAAAAAATGAAGAAGCGGCCGTCAGCAGTTCTATAATAAAAGAAAATGTAGAGTCCCTGTAAAATAATATGTATCATCAGATATTTCTACAAACCCTTTTGGTTAAGTTGAATAATGAAATCCATTCAAGAAAGGTGAGATGTATAATAGACACTAATCAGGGGGGATATCGTGCATAGTGTTATGGCGGCGCTGACGTCATGTAGAGTTAATAGAGTTGGCGCCAAGTAAATATCATATGACAGATTTACGTTGCAGTAATTTGTAAGTTATTAATAATGATTTATAACACTTTAAGCGAATATCGATTATATTATATTGTAAACGGTGTTCTTTGTAAGTGGTATTAGTGATAAATATTAAAAAATGAGGTACGCAATTTACAGATGTAACAGTAATAATCAAAGCAAAGGAGTTGAAAAAGACGTTGTTTTTCACATTCCTCGACAGTAAGAGGTTAGTCAGAAGCAGTGGCGCAGCCAGAAACTTCGTTCAGGGGGGGCCGAATCAGTGACGCATCGAGAAAACGTACATTGAGGGTTCAACTAAAAGCGCTGTAAGCAAACTACAGAAACAGAAAAATTATTTTGGGTGCCACGCCCAAAAAAAAGCCTTTTCAGGACGAGAATTATTATTTATGCACAATTACAAAATAATTGAAATATAATATTTTTAAAATCCTACCCAGGTGTGCCACAGGCCCGAACTAAATCAAATACTTGTTTAATACATTGGGTTTAACATTTATTATTGATTTCCAAATTTTAAGAATATATTAAGAAAATGAGAGATATTGGGTCAAAAGAATAAAAGTACAAAAAAAAATATAAACAAAAATATTTAATGCAAAACTACGTCCTAAAGCAAAATTCTTCGTTTTGTTTTTGCCATTTCGTCCAAAATTTCTTCTGCCGTAATGACAATATCGTGGTTTGCGTAAAGGACTGCCAAACCATTTAGCCTATCCTCTTGCATAGTGCTACGCAAATAATTTTTCAAATATTTTAAATTTGAGAAAGATCTTTCGGATGTTGAAGTTGTAATTGGTAAAGTTAAAAAAATTTGTAAGAGTCTTTTTATGTTTGGAAATATAGTGGAATCACATTCAGAATAAACTTTGGCCAGATCTTCCTTCAGGTTCTTATTTTCGCATTTTTTGTACCATAACTCAAGTTCAGCTTTTAATATAGTTTCGTTACAAAAACCTTCAAGAAAGTCATGCATTTTGTAAAAGCTGTGGAGTTCCAAAAAACATTTATATTGGCTTTTAAAGTTCTGGTTATTAAAAGGAAAGAGACATTCAAAATTTTGAATTGTTTTTCGATGGTTTAAGAACCTTTCTTCGAGATTTACTATCAAGTCATCTAAAAACGGAATAAAAATGGCGATTTTAAGATATTCAGAAGCAGATTCGGTATTTAAAACAAGTCGTTGTGTTTGTCGTGCTGGTACTCTGGGCATCTTAATTTCTATATCGAACTCCGAAAGAAGATCTTGAGCTTCTTTAAAAATATTTTTAAAATGCTCATCTGCCTGGCCTCGTATTTGTTTAAGTTGATCTGCCACATCATCTGCTAGAGCCAACGCTTTACAAAGATTAAGGTCAATCGTTTGCAGTATTTTACTCAGAGGTAGCGTATGAGCGTACAATCTTTTTGAGCACATCAATGCAATGGTAAATTTAGAAGTTTTGATGCTGGCTAGTAATCCAGATGCCTCAGTTGAAGTAGGACGATCTGGCCATTGTTCTATTTCTTCCAAAGCTGCGACCAGCGGTTTATAGAGTTCTTCAAATATCAAAACAGCATCATGCCTTGCTACCCATCGAGTAGGACATAATCTTTTTAAGCCATGCTTTTTTGTTTCCGTGCATAATAACTCAATTTTTTGGTGCAAAACGTTCTCCCTTTTGGGGGAGTTAAAAAAGCAATATGCTTTTTCAATTGTTCCTAAGCAGTTTCGTATTTCTGTTACATTAGATGCTGAAGATAAACAAAGGTTTAAATTATGTGAAGCGCAGTGTACATACGTAGCCGCAGGAAATTTTTCTGAAATTAACTTTTGAACGCCTTTAGTATTCCCGGACATAGCAGCTGCTCCGTCATATCCCTGTCCACAAAGGTATTTACAGTTAACTTCTAGTTTATCTAAAGTTCCCAGAATATTCTCAGCTATATAAGCGCCAGTAGTAGAAGTAATTTCGACGAATTGTAAAAATTTTTCATGAATTTGATCTTTCCTGTCAACAAATCTAACACATATTGATAACTGTTCTTTATTTGATACATCCGCTGTTTCATCGGCTAATATAACGAACGCTTTCGCGGCGTTAAGTTCTTCTACGATTTTTTGGATAACTAGTCGATTGCATATTTCCAATATTTGATTTTGGATGTCCCAACTCAGATATGTGGCATTGCCTCCACAAAAATTCAAATGATCCAAAAGGGCTTGGTCTCCAGCTTCAGCTCTTAGCCTTAATATATTACGAAAGTTACCCTCGCTTCTGTTTAGGTCAGAATGCAAGTCCAAAGATCCGTAATCTTTATGTCCTCTTAATGGCAGTCCCATTCTTCCACAAAAAAGTATTGTTTTAATAATTGGTGTCAGTCGCTGCCGATTTTGTTGTATTATCAATTCAGATGACTTGGTTAATAACTTGCCTATAGAATAACCGGAAAAACTTTGTTTTAAATTATCTGCGCGAAGTACTGAAAACCTGTGATATTGTGCCCCTCCATGAGCTTCAAATTTTCCTATTGCTTTTTTCCATCCCCGAAAAGGCTCTTTTACTAAAGCTCCAAGAATCTGGCTAGTATTATGACCGGCAAATGATGAAGAAAATAGAACACAGTATTTACAATAGGCCCCATCTTCTATTTTTGAATATGTTAACCAATTATATTTCGTCAGCCACACAGTATTAAATTTTCGTTGATGTTGTCCTTGTTTTTCTAAAGGAAACACAAAATTCTTAGGTGGAGTCCAAAATCTTTCGACTAATTGTAGTTTAGTCTCATCGTCTACCTGTTTATGTACAAAGTTAGCAATATCATACTTGTCGTGAACTTGGTTATTCTGTGAAGTCATTGACGAAGAGGCTTCGCATTCTAATCTGTTTCCTTCCGATGTTTTTTGTAGAGGCAGCAATGAAACATGTTCATCATTATCTAATTTGTTTTCTGTCAAGGCTGATGCGGTGCATTGCAGAGATGTCGATACTGTCGATGAAACTATATCACTATCTTCAGCTAGCCTTGGTTTTTTTAGAAAGTTCCATAGTATATTCGAACTTCCTTTATGTTTTGGATTTCCTCTGTTTTCCATCACGTAAAAATGTATTTGCGCTGCAATCTGCAATTAAAAAAATGTCTTAAGGACCTTAAGGTTAACCTACACTTGCGTTCACAAATTATAATTGCATAGATATCAGTGTGTCGTGTTTGATACAGTAGTTGGTGCAACAGGCTTCAGCCTAGAGTGATTTTTTGATACGGGTTCGAGTCCGGCCAAGTGCAATTTTTTTCTTTTTTTTTGTTAGTTTTACCGGTAAAAGTGCGATTTATAAAGGAAAAGTGTTTACTTCTTTTAAATTCGTTTTTTATTAATTAAATATGCGGGCATTAATTGTCCTTGTGAAAGCCAAAAAGCCGTTGTATATTTTAATGGGCTTAAGGCCGTGCTGGCCGATGGCATTCTTCGCCTTTTGCCTAGTGTAAAAAAGTTTAAACGCTTACATTTTAAAAACTTCAAAACTTTTAATCACGTCTCGCGTGTGAAAAAAATATTTAAATATAAATAAAACTAACCTGAGAACTTGTCGATAGGTTTTCACAAATGATTTAGCTTTACACTGTCCCTAAATTAAACAGTTGCTTTTAAAACAATAACAAAACTAAATACCACATGTGCACCTGTAACGATTGCTTCTGATCATCTGATTTCAGTCGACAGTGGGCTGGAGACTGAAGACTGGAGGTAGGCCATGGTAGGCCGACAGCTTTGTGCATTGTTGCCGAGTATAAAAATTGCGTACTGCGGCCAGATTACGTGTCTTTGCATTGGTTCACGAGTCCACACATATTGGTTCAATGGTACTACAGTTTTTGCTGGACGGAAAAGATATTTATTTTTAACATTTATTATTGGTTTCCAAAAGAAGTTCTTAGATTTTAGATGATTTAAAAACAGTACAGTATATAATGTAGTACAATAAATAGAAAATGGGACTATACAATAAAACCAGAAGGTTCGGGAATATAAGAAAAAAAAATGACCCTTACATTTTTAAGTGTTGAAGTTACCTACATATAATTATAGTGTATACCTAGAATACTTAATCTAAAATCTCGGAGGGGGCCCGGGCCCCCGAGGCCCCCCCTGGCTGCGCCCCTGGTCAGAAGTGGCCAAAGGGTCGCTCTAGTTGTAGGTCCCAGGGAGCCTCGCCTCTTTCTTCATTAATATTTTTACATTCCATGAGGCCTTTATTGAAAAAATATAATAAAAAGGGAAATGTTATAGGCAATGCTACCCACACCAAATTTGACGTGTGGCCGTCCAGATAACTTTAAAACAGAAAATTGTCATGGGTGTTCCAAGCACTTTTAACCTTTTAATTATAAGATGGACCTCAAAGCAAACGTTCTTGTTAGTTCATTCGCAACTCAGGACTTTTTAACTGAGGACTCTATCCTTTAGAAAGCTGAAAATTTCGCAATATATAGCGAAGGTGTCGCAAAAAATAAAATTTTGACATGTACTTGATGAAAAAGAATTAAAAAACTATCAGTGACTAGGCCAAGGAAAAATGTAGTAACATTTTATTTTAATTTTGTATATACACCCATCGTATAGCAGTTATTTGAATTTGGTACATTTATTTTTATGCATTGCATTATATTATATGTATAAAAAATATTTTTTAAAAACCTGTTTTTGTTATCGTACATATATATAAATCCCATCTTATTCATAAAATAAGTTGTTAAGTATATTCAATTGAGTAATAAATTGCAGATAAATGAGTCATCAGTTGCGAATCCTAATCAGGTAAATAGTCCCAAAATGCAAAATTTTAACCCAGGGTCTCCAGTTGAGAAATTCTAAGTTACGAAGATACCATTCTAATTATCCTGGTTATAGGAACTATTCGTTAGACGTCGAATGTTCTTCTAAATTAAAACCTGCATTAAAATTTATATAACAAAAATAAATCATTAAAAAGAAAAAGGAAAAACTGATACTTCAAATAAATATTTCTTTCATATGTATTTGAGTTTATTTTCCTTTATACCTCTATCCCATAATAATATCCTTAGATATTTGATGTCATTTTTAAAATATTATCCTTTAATATTTATAAAATTACTCTAAATAGCATTTAGTTTCATCATACTTCGACAGTATTTTTAAATTCCCGCTTATAAAAACTACGCATGAAGTCATGCGCGTGGTCGTCCTATTTTTGACACAGTTGATATCCTACCTTCTATTTTTTATACCATGGACACTAATCTCAGCGTTCATATTTCAGTAAATTTGTTGCTTCTGAAATGAAATTACAGTCACTTGGAAAAGAGACACAAATACATGCCCTTTTTGGTGGTCAGTTTAAAGTCGTCACTCATACTGTATTTAAGATTAGATTATATATTATAGATAAGAAAAATGCATGTAACTTTCAAGTTTTATATCAACCCATAATTTGTACGAATATCAGTTCTATCCTTAAAGGTTCCTGGATGTCTGAGCTATCAGATTTGGGAATAGAAATATTTGATATCAAAGATGCTCCAATTGATGTCTTAATAGGTGCCGATATTGCTGGTAAACTTTTTACTGGTAAACAATACAATTTACCTATGGATACCCAACTAGGATGGACTCTTCTTGGAAAGATTTCCAATGTCTATTTAAATACCTCTAGCATAAGTTTGAACATGATAACGTCTCTATTATGTAAAAATGACCAGATAACAAATTTATAGAGTCTTGATATTCTTGGAACATTCGATCCTGGTGAGTGCGAGAAGTGCAAGAAAGAATTAGAACTGGTTGTAATGCAACATTTTTATGACATAGTCAGTTCATGTCGCTGATGGAAGATACGAGGTTTCTCTACCTTGGATAGAAGGCCATCCACCAATTCCAAGTAATTTTTATTTGACTAATCGTCTAGACAACTTATTGATAAAGTTGAAGCAGGATGGATACTATGACGAGTACAACAATGTTTTCTCGGAATGGCTAGCTGAAGGCGTCATCGAATTTGTACCCAGAGGTGAAGAAATGAAAGAAACTGTTCATTATTTAACTCACCGACATGTGGTAAAACTTGATAGTACTACAACCAAAATAAGTTTAGTTTTTGATGCTTCTGCACGAGAAAAAGCTTTCCCTTCTTTAAATCAGTGCTTTGATATCTTTTAGATTTGATACCTTCTAGTTTAATAAGATTCCGACTTTCTAAAATTAGGGGTAATTGCTAATATAAGAAGGGTCTTTCTTGAAATTGGCATCCTAGAGGCTGATCGAGACTTTCTGCGTATTTTATGATATGATAAAGATAGTAATCCTATTTATTTTCGACACACAAGATTTGTTTTCGGGGTGACTTGTAGCCCTTTCCATCTTAATGCTGTCTTACAGTTGCATTTAAATCGTTTTTGAATGTTTAGGTCTAGCTTTTGAGGAACTTTTATAAACATTTTATCAGATTGACTGCTTTTATTTACTTCTCATATAGACCAAGTACTTGAAAATGTAACCAGGTATTTAATGTAACGCAAAATTAAACAAATGTTTATTTTATCACAATTTTTAAAAGCAATTTTAATGTTTTGTTTCCAAAAATCGATTTGAGGTTAGAAATTTTGACATTCTTGTATCATGAGAAAGAAAACCTAATTTTAATCCAATTTGAAAGAGATAACTATAATAAATGTCACTATTAGAAAACGATAACGATTAACTGTCTAGTGTTTACGGTATCACAGATTCTTTAGAAACCAATAGAAATAGGCGCTTCATTATGGCGCGGTAAATAGGGTAAAAATAGTGTTTTAAATAATTGAATTAAAAGTGAACTTTTTAAAGTACTATAACTTTATTATTTATTATCTATTTAAAGTATTTATTGCATGAAAACAAAAGTTTTTTTTGTGTTTAAACAGTTAATAGCATTAGATTCATTAAATTCGTTTACACTAAACACGCCCATTGCTGATGGTCAATAGTATCAAATGTCTTGGAAAGATGCAGAAATAGAGCTACTGATGGACAATTGATGTGTAAATTTGTTTTATAAGCTCTGCTATAGAATCCTCAGTTAATTTTTTTTTTTGAATGATGAATTGCTTTTTTGAAATTGTTATTTTTGTTTAAAAAGTATTAAAGTCTTTTTTTATAATATTTTTTCAAAAAACTTTGTGAAATTCGTAATCGCCATTTTTGTAACTATTACAATTTAAAATCGGCTTAGCCCAATTTGACCATGTTCCTGGATGAGGGACGAGGTGCTGCGCAGGGAAAGATTTCAAGTAAATAAATTATTCTATGGGTATTTTCTGTTTGGAATTTCAACACAAATATGTTTGTTTTGAAAGTTTGACGTTTGTGGTTTGACTTGACATCTAAATTTTATAGACTTTAATAATTTAAAAGATAAAATGTACTTATTACTTATATTCATTTTCCAAATATTGTAGATCCAGAAAAAGTAGATATTCGGTTTTTATTTTATTTTTTTTATTTTCTTTATTTGGCTAGTTTGCTAATATCACAATATTCAAATTTAGTAAAAAATAATGTAATATATTAATTATTATAATCAACTTCTAAATAGGAAATGTAATTTAACTGCGCAATTGTTTTAATAACAGAATGCATATTATGGTCTGTGAATTTCATCCGTTTTCGAATAATTACCACCAAATATTTGAATTGTATAGAATTTCCTATATTGTTTAACCACAAACTGCATATAGTTATTATTTATCAGCATATGTTTTGTTTTATATGTGTTGATTTTTAACAAATGATTCCAACATCATTTATAAACATTTTGCAGAGTTTCATTAACAACTTTTGCTAAAAATTATCTGAATCCTTACAACTTATAAGAAACATAGATAAGGACATCATCAGCAAACAGGTAAATGTCATATTCCCCCTTGTGACATCAACAATGTCATTGATATAAATATGTGGTTAATTTTTTGTGATCATGACAGCGATTCTTATATGTACGAACTTGACATATTACATATAGAATAGAGAGAGAAATATTACATTAAAATCGCTGTCGGTCGAACGAAGATAAGCGCCTCGATAGGAGACGTGTCAAAAGATGAAAA